TCAGTTTTTTCATTTAATGTCATACCTGTTACCCAATCTGTGTATCTTGCGGATGACTCTACATCTTACATTCACAGTAAGGGTGATGTTTGTCTATCTTCTGATATTACTCTTTCATCTGTCCTTCATATACCTACACTTGCCTTTAACCATTTATCTGTTAGCCGGCTTGCAAAAAACCTCTAATGTGCAGCTATATTCTTACCAGATCACTGTTTGTTACAGGACCTTTGTTCGAAGAGGATTTTTGGCAGGGGTTATTAGCGTGATGGGCTTCACTACTTTGGGGAACCACCAGGAACGAGTCTTCAAGTTTCTGTCCTACCTACTTCTAGTGTTTATGATGTTTTTTTTTTGCACCTTTAGTCTGTGGCATGCACGTTTGGGGCATGTAAACTTTTAGTATATATGCCTATTGTTTCCTTCGTTAAATAAAGCATGTAAGGACCATAAGTTTCAATGTGAAGTTTGTGAGCTTTCAAACATACTAGAACTAGCTATATTTCTCATATGAGTTGTGTTCCTAGTATTTTTAATCTTATTCATTCTGATGTCTGGGCCCTTCCCCAGTTGCTGCTTTCTTTGGACATCGATATTTATTGATGGTTATTCTCGTTGTACTTGGGTTTATTTATCGAAAAAGAAATCTAATGTGTTTCTTTTATTTGCCCAGTTTCTTCAAATGATCAAAACCCAGTATAATACTATTGTCCGTAATATTCGTTCTAATAATGGATAAGAATATGTTTCGAATGAGTTCCGGAGTGAACTTAATAAAAAGGGGATTTTACATCAACTCATTTGCCCCTACACTCTTGAGCAAAATGGCGTGGCTAAATGCAAAAACCGCCATCTTATGTCTGTGGTCCGATGTCTTCTGAGTGGTATGCATGTGCCTAAATTCTATTGGCACATGGTTGTTCTTACAGCTGCTTTTCTGATTAATCGTACTCCCAGTCGAGTTTTGGGTGGTAAGGCCCCACTTCAGATTCTCCAGCCTGATTATACATTGTTTCACTTTCTGCCTCGTGTTTTCGGCTGTACTTGTTTTATTCATAACCATAGTCCTTCTCGTCATAAACTTGATGATAAATCTATTAGGTGTATTTTCTTAGGGTATTCTGCTATGTCAAAGGGCTATCATTGTTATGATCCTGTGACCAAACATATGTATCATTCTCTTAATGTGACATTTCATGAAACTGTTCCTATTTATAGTACTAATTCTGTGGTACGGGATTCTCTCTCTTTTGATCTGGAAAAGGAGATTTCTCCTATTACCCGTCCTGTTCATCTCTTTGAAAATCACACTGTCCTAGAATCTCCTTCTCCATCCATGCAGGGTTCCCCTCCACCTTTGCAGGTCTACTCTCGTCGCCATTGCACTCAACCTCCCCTGCCAGAATCATTGTCAGAACCAGGTCCAGGTAACTGTCCTTCTCCTATGGCTCCTACCATTCCTGAGCATACCTCCCATTATCCAACCCGTGATCGTCACCCTCCTAATTGGTATGGTTTTTCTAGTAGCACTAACCACCCTATTTCCTGGTATGTCTCTTATGATGGTCTTTCAGGTGCATATAAATCCTTCTTGGGCAAGATTAGGACCGTTTCTATTCCTCGATCCATGTTAGAGGCCCTCCAGGATCCCAATTAGGTGTCTACCATGACAATAGAAATGGATGCTTTACAACATAATAATACATGGGAACTTGTTTCTTTACCTGCTGGGGAGAAAATGGTTGGCTGCAAATAGGTCTTTAATGTGAAGTACTTAGCCAATGGTTCTATTGATCGGTATAAGGCTCGGTTGGTGGCAAAAGGCTTTACTCAGATTCTGGGCAAAGACTTTAGTGCTACCTTTGCTCTTGTGGCAAAGTTGACGTCTGTGCGACTACTTATCTCTTTGTCTGCTGCCCATTCTTGGCCTCTACATCAGTTAGATGTCAAGAATGCATTTCTTAATGGAGACTTCAAGAATGCATTTCTTAATGGAGACTTACTTGAAACTATATATATGGATCCACCCCCTGGATTTCAGGCTGAGGGGGAGTATGCTGGGAAAGTTTGTAGGCTGCGGAAGTCTCTTTATGGTCTAAAGCAATCTCCTAGAGCTTGGTTTAGTCGTTTCAGTGATGTTATTCTATCCATGGGCTTTATGTGCTACCACTCAGACCATACTTGCTTTATTCAACGTCGCTCTGATGGTCATTGCATTATGTTATTAGTGTATGTGGATGATATCATTATCACAGGTGATGATGTTTCAGGAATTGCTCAGGTGAAACTTCATCTTCAAAAGTCCTAGAATGTGAAGGACTTAGGTCTTCTTCGATATTTTCTTCGAATTGAGGTTGGTAGATCCTGTCAAGGAATTTCTTTATCTTAAAGGAAATATGTTTTGGATCTTCTTCAAGATACTAGCATGCTTGGGTGTCGACCCGCTTCCACTCCTATGGACCCCAATCTCAAACTCTTAGTTGAGTTAGGGGAATTATTTTCAGATCCATTCGTGTATCAACGTTTAGTAGGTCGTCTTATCTACTTGACTAACACAAGGCCCGATTTGACATTTTCAATTAGTGTGGTTAGTCAATTCATGCATGCCCCTCGCTCAACTCATATAGATGCAGTCTACCATATTTTAAGGTATCTTAAGTCGTGCCCTGGTCTTAGTCTGTTCTATACCTCAGGAAATCAGTCTGGACTCTCATGCTTTACTGATGCAGACTATGCTGGATATAAGATAGACAGACGTTTTACCTCTGGCTTCTGTACTTTCTACGATAATCATCTCATATCATAGAAGAGTAAGAAGCAAGTTGTTGTCTCTAGATCCTCTGCTGAAGCTGAATACATAGCTATGGCTCAAGGTACTTGTGAGCTCCTTTGGCTTTAATCAATTTTGGAAGAGTTGGGTCTTGTAGAGAAAAGTTCTTTAAGGCTGTTTTTTGACAATAAATCAGCCATTATGCTTGCTTCCGATTCTATATTACATGAAAGGTCGAAACATATTGAGGTAGACATTCACTTTATTCGAGAGAAGGTTCGATCAGGTATCATTAATCCTATTTTTGTTCCCTCTTCAGAACAGACTGCAGATGTGTTCACAAAGCCTTTTGGGCCTTCTCTTCTCCAGTCTTCCATAGTCAAGCTGGGCTTGGTCAACATATTTGCTCCAGCTTGAGGGGGAGTGTTGGAAATCATATCCATAAGTTGACTCAATGATTGTGGCAGATTTATTGGGTCTTCAATATAGGTTAATATTTAGGGATTTTATTTTTATTCTGATTTGATTTTATTCTCTTTATTTTGATTTTGATTTTATTCTCTTTCCATATTTGTAATTTTCCTCTGGTATATAATGACAGTAAGGCTCTCAAATTGAGTACGCCAATTTTACTAAGTTACTTTTGTTACCCCTAGTTTTTCCATTCATAGCCTACTACATTTAGATGGTGGGACATTTTCATAACATTATCCCACTGCTTGGGAAGCTTTGGACTAGTTTCGATTGAAGTGCATCCATGAAGGGCCTCCAAAGAGAATAATAAACAGACTCTGATATTTATGTCGCCTTTACATTTTTTCTGCTTTTACTAGTTTCCCCTAGTTTTTCCATTCACAGCCACTTACATTTAGATATTGACACATTATAATAACATGATCCTACCACTCAGGGAGCTTTCGACTAGTTTCCATTGAAGTACATCCTTGAATGGCAAGGTGTTGCTCATAATATTTAGTAATTAAAGTTCTTAGTATTGCCCGCTTGCATTTTAGTGCATATCTTGCATCATTTTTATGACAGTAAGTAAATCAAATCATTTAAGCATTACTAGCTGCAACTTTAGTAAAAGTGAATAAATATATTAAAATGTGATATTATCTATATAATTCTTCTTCTTCCTTTTTCCTGTACCATATCTCCTGCTCTATCATTTCTCATCATTTTTTTTTTTTTTTTTTTTTTTTTTTTTTTTTTTTTTTTTTTTTACCATTTGCAATCTTTTTGGCCTCCCCTTCATCACTCTTAGCATAAACTGTATTTGCCAAATGTGTGGATGCAGTGATGGTTATTCTTTTTACACGAGTATCCAAACTTGTTCACTTCTTCTTATTCTTAACTTGTCATTGCTACTTTGACCTTTTTTTTAGTATCTACTATCTATTGACTTTTCATATTGGCAATTTTATATTAACTTAGTTAATTAGACTTCTCTTTGCAAATAACTACTATGAAATGTAACCTATGTTGATCTCATTACAAAATTACCTACTAAATCTCTCTTCTTGTTATGGATGTATCTCGTGGATTTGTAACTGTAAACTTACTTATATTGAAGATGGTCTGAGCCTCCTTTTGGCACTATTTTGTCAATAATGTTTTGCAACTTTGTGAGTGATGTAGTCAAGGGCGGAGGGAGGGGTGGGTGAAGGTGGGCTTCAGTCCCCCCCAAAAAATTTTTTTTTTTTTTTTACTATACTACTTTCAGCCCAGCCCAAAAAAAAAAAAAAAAAAAAAAATTAAGCCCACCCAAAATTAGCCCAATCCTAAATTAGCCCACCCCAATTAGCAATCCTGGATCCGCCTTTGGATGTAGTTCTCCCTTATGATCTGCTCATGCCATTACCTTCTTGGCACTCACTAAATTTGTAAATGTTTATTGTCTGATGGATGAGATAAAGTCATCAATGTACGATGGGCATTGATTAAATTTACTTTTCTATACAGCTTTTGTGGAGAAAATGCAAACAAGTGGAGACCTTAATCTCATTGGTCAATTTGGTGTTGGGTTCTACTCAGTATATCTTGTTGATGACTATGTTTAAGTTGTTAGCAAACATAAAGATGACAAACAGTATGTCCCTTTGGGCCATTTCATTTTCAAGCAATTGTTACTATCTTATGGTAGAAATATGATGTTTATTTAATTATTTTTTCAGGTATGTATGGGAATGAAAGGCTGATGGAGCATTTACTATTTCTGAAAATGTTTGGAATGAGCCACTTGGTCGTGGAACTGAAATCAGATTGCATCTTAGAGAAGAAGCCAGGGAGTACTTGGAGGAGAGCAAATTAAAGGTGTGTAAACTAAAAATGTATGATGAATGATAATTTTCAGTTGGTTTTTAGATTAGTACCTTTGTCTTTATAATTTATAATACCTATATTGGGAGCCATGTTCATCATTGGTTTTGTGACCACTAACTAGGACATAAAATAACTTATAATCGTTGATATAGTGAATTATACTTTATGTGAATGATTTATATGCTTGCTTTTATTATGAAAATGTTAAGGATTGAAGAATCTTATACCCCTCTATTCTCTAGATGGATTTCCTCAAGATTTATTGTTTCCACATGTGCTTGCTTTATTATAATACGAAGAGTAGATCTTTCAATGTACCTTTATTATAATGCTTGCTTTGCTTGGTTTAATTTTGGCAACTTTACAACTTGCTTTACATTAATTCTCTTACTTCAACTATTACATCTTTGTAGGTCAAAGCTAGGATTGCGGGTTGCGGTTGCCGTTACTTTTTTTGTTGCCGCTATATTTTTTGTATGCCTCATGAAGAAGTTGCAAGAAGATATGAAGAATTTTTGTTTCATTTTGGTTAAGTAAATAGATAACGTGTGGATCATGTACTTATTTGAAATTTGTATATGGCTAATTTTAGTATAAAACAAAGATTTGGAATTAGTTATATATATATATATGATATTATTGGTCAGTTGTAAAATATTTTGGTTATGATGCTATTTTTTATTTATGTAGGGTTTGCTTATGGGGTCCTTACAAGGCTAGTAGAAAGGAAAAAAAAAAATGCTTCAAATGGGCTACACTATTTTTTTTTAAAAAAAATTATATAACACTTTCTACCACGGTTATGCACCGTGGCGATTAAACTTTCTACCACAGTGCATAACCATGGTATAAAATCTTTCTTTCGATCACGGTGCGAGACTTTCTACCACGGTGGTGAACCATAGTAGAAAATAAACTTTCTACCACGGTGCGAAACTGTGGTAGAAAATAGACTTTTTACTACGGTGCAAAACCGTGGTAGAAAGTCTCTACTTTAATACCACGGCTGTTTCCACCACGGTTCAAAACCGTGGTAGAAAGCATTTTCCACCGTGGTAAAAAGTCATTTTTCTTATAACCTCCCCGTTCTTGATATTATATCCTAAGATATTTATTATTTTTTAATTATAATTTTTTTAAATTTTAAAATTTTTTAATTATTTTTATTTTTAAAATTTTTAATTATTATTTTTTCGAAAGGTTTTAAAATTTTATTTAATAACAAATTGAAAAAATAATCTCAAACTCAGCAATATTTATCGAATGAGCGAGAAGTGGAAGAAAGAGAAAGAAATTTCTAGACAGAGAAACTTAGAGAGGGGTTTGATGAGAGACAAATTTAGAGAGAGAGGATCGAGATACCCAAACTCTCTTGCCCACTAACTGATATTACAAACTCATTATGAATGGATGGTTTTGAATTATAGAGGCTTGAGATACTCTCGGCTATTTATAGCCAATTGAATCACCAAAATACTTGTTGGGCAAGTAGTACTGAGCTTGGTGATCACGTCTCCATAAAGCTATATATGTAGAGTATGTAATTGTTGACCAAATATGTTCTATACCCAACACACCATTTTCTGCCACAAGTTATACAATGTGAGCTACAAGACTTATTAAAATATTTGACCTCCAAGGTGATTAGGTAATGCATGTTGCCAGCTTCAAAATTTGAGCCATAAATTACTCAACAAATCTCCACCTCGGCAAAAATTTCATATGAGCCACTGTATCTCTAACAAACAACCTGTCTTCTCCACAAAACAAATTAATTAAGAATTTTTGTTAAGTTTGATTTATCTTCAAATTTAACCCTCGGGCTCTCTTTCTTCAACCCATGCATGTCTTGCGCAACCACAAGTATACCTCAAGTATTTCTGTCAAACTCTAAACGCTTATCAAAGACACCCTCAGAAATTCCAAGTTTGACATCTCCGTCAGCAACCTTCTCCAACTGCCCACAAATCACCGACTGGTATTGAAAAGTCATCTTCTCACCCTTGTGGAGAATATGATGTCCTTGACTTTTCCTCGCATCTCTATTGTGACCAACTACTTGCCTCCCACACATCTTAATCGCACTCAAATGGACTATCTCATTGCCACCAAGATTATTTCAAGTCAATATTACACCTATCATCATAGGTCTGCCTCCCTATGTTAGTTTTCTAATTAGTTTTGGTCTTTGACAAAAATCTTGTAAATATTTGATTCAAAATTTTGTTACATTTTCAAGTTTTTTTTTTTTTTTTTTTTTTTTTTTTTTTTTTTTTTTAATTAAAATCATTTTGTTAACACAAAAATGGCGGTTGCCCATGTGGGTTTTGTGATTTAATTAGTTTATACTAACATTTTCCCTTGACTTCAGAAATTAATGCGGGTCAAGGTTGACATTGTTTTCTAATTCATACTTTCTATATTGCCCAACATGCAGGTCAAGGTTGACTTAGTTTTATTCTCCATATGTCATAAAAGATTACAATTTTGATGATGAAAGTTTATGGTTTTACCTAATAATATATATATCTAATGACGAATGAGATCTTAGACATTCACATCGCCTTACAACAATTTTCCTAGATAATTAATCAATGATTAATATGATTAGTCAATGTTTGTTTCTTTATCCTTATGTTACTACATTAATACAACATGTGATTACTGCCTCACATTCCAAAAGAAGCGAGCTATATTTGAGTTAAACTTGGAGATGGAAATCTTCTTTCATTTCTCCCTAAACTCATAAGTTTACTATCCTAGGTTGGAACAAGTCGATTGGATCCCCATTTTTATGTCCCAGTGTCTCCCTATGGCGACATGGGGACAAAAAAAGGAAAGAGTAGGATGGGGTCTCTCTCACTTTTGGCATAGCGACCCCAGTGAGTGGCTTGCACGATGGGCTATTCAGAATTTATTAAAGATCATATTCATTAATTCCGATCAGAAAGCAAGATCTATTTTCCTCTTTTTATATTCGAATTCAATTGCACTATTAAGGGAATGAAGTGTTGGAAGAGCAGCCCTTTTCATGGATTGAGAACTAAGCCTGAAGTCTTCAGCAATTCGACCCGCGGGTAACTGGTTTTGGCAAAGTATAGTAGTCTGTTTGATTTTAAATGGACTAAAATTAAAATAATCTAAATATCGGATAAACGAGCAATTTAATCCATTCACCCCTCTAGATTTTGTTTTGAAGTTTAAATTTTCACAACCTTTTTCACATCGCATAATTCACACTTCATATTCATTCAACTGATAAATAGTTCAAATTAGCCAATATAAAAAACACAAAGTTACAAGACAACCCTATGAATGAAAAGGTCAATATTCATATTCAACTGATGTTTCCTCACTAGTGGTGGTAGTAGGAGTCTTAGCGGAGGCGGATCTGGACTTGACCACCACTAGAATGCGCTTGCTGATGTCCTTGGAGTAGATCTGGAGGATCTTAATGTCATCGGCGAGGCCGCAGCCGGCAGAGGCGGCGAAAGCTTCATCCTCAATGCTGCGGGCGGTAGCAGAAGCCTCGTCCTGTGGGATGGATCCGTAGCGTTTGGAGAGGACAGATGAGGAGGAGGAGAGAGTCTCTACGAGGTGGTTAATGACGGCATCACGAGTGCGCTGTGACGGCGGCCAAATGCTGAAGGATTTGATCTTCTCTGTGTTCTTGATCTCCTGGTGTTGGGTTTTTTCGGTTTTGGGCCTTTTTGAACGTTTTGGTTCTTGTTCTTCAACAATAGAATAATGAATATCAATTGTCATATTCCTAATATTATAGTGAATATTGATGTAGAAAAATGGGTTATTAGTTAATCCACTTTATGAAAAGGAACATGGATATCCAGATTTGCATATCATTGGAACAGTTGATGAGAAAAGAGTAAGAACCTAATCCAACAGACCTTAACATAATCATAATATTAAATAATAATAATAATAATAATAAAATTCTATTTCAATGCAATTATCATATTAATAAAGATTCCCAATATAACATCTATGGGAAGAAGTGATCAATTATGTTGGGGACAAGTGAATCAATTACGTGGATTAGCAAGAAGCCCAGGTGACCCAGCTTTCTGTTGGTTGCTTTATCTCATAGGTAGGGAAACTAGGGAATTGATGTTATAATTGTTCAACTACAATAATAAAAACAAGTGAAGAAAAAAGAAAAGTAAAGACGAAGAAAAATATATATATATGAAAGAACTTTGAAGTGAAAAAAAAATAGTTTGATTGAATAAAGGGAATGCAATTTTTTTGAAAAAAAAAAAAAAAAAAAGGTGAATGACATTGAAATGAAAGATAAAATTTGAGAAATTTATGAAAAAAGGAAATTTTAGGGGGCCACAATTTAATTTTTTATAAATGACATTACCTAACTGTAATATAAATTAGTGGGGCAAGCATTGGTACAGGGGAACACGTGCCCCGGGACCGCTCCCTTCCTCTGTATAGAGAATAAATATTTAGTGCGCTTGGTGCTCTGTACAGCAGACTAATCTAAGTTGTTCATGATGTGTATGTGCCGGCGCAAGTTTTGCATGCACGGGTCAAATTAGCCCGGTACATCGGACGCACCGAATATCTACTCTTATATAAGATACACAAACGAGCCGTGTACGAAATTTGTGCAAGCTTTCATAAAATTAAAACCCATGCATCTACCTTCTAAATCATTGGTTTCAAAACATTATTACTCCTTCCCTCTTATATTTAGTTATCCACTTTATCTTTTAGAATTTTTTTAAAATTTAATTTATTGTCCCATTTTAAAATTATCAAGTTGTCCTTTAAGTTTAAATATGTATGTTATGAGGTTTTAAGATTTTTGAAAATTTAAAAGAAACAATTATGCAAAGATAAAATTGTTTTGCTTTGACTTTTTTACTTGAATAAGATGAGACATTCTATATTATAAGATGGAATATTCATATGGGACAGAGGGAATAATATTTTACCAAATTCAAAGTTTCATTTTCAAGATTTTGCATGAGTGGTTTGTAGAGCAATTTTTTAGAATATCAATTTCTAATTAATTATTAAATTAAAACTACATATGTCAAAACTATTGTAGCAATAGTGATGCATCCATCCATGGTACTATAAGAGGTAAACATTTAGGAACAAAATATATAAAAAAAATTTAGATGACCAGTAAATAAAGAAGGTAAACTTTAAGTGGCAGGCAAGAAACAACAACTTGATTTACAATCATAAGCGAACATATAGTTAGGAGAGGTTAGAACAAGTGGCTGATCGATTTACCTTTTTTATCCTTCTCAATTTCTTCGACTCGTCTATTTACATACCCCTTCTCTGTGCAATCCCTATACCCAGAATGCGAACCTATTTGCAAATTTGGCTCATTCGATTGTGTCATTTCTTCCAAATCCTAGCCTGCTTTACCTTCTCTGGCCTGCTTTACCTTCTTCTACTAAGAGAGCTGCAATGCTTCTACAACTCATCTTTGACACTCATACTCCTTATATAACCAAATTTAGGTCAATGATTAATATGCAACAAATATAATATTATACATTTATATTTATATTATGACTGAGATATGAGAATGCAAGCTGTAACTTTTCATCTATGAACAAACAAAACATAATGCTTAATTGCATGGGATGTGTTTTTTAAAAGATAAATTGCAAGTTCAACAACTTTTCAAGCCAATATTACAAAACTAGCAACTTTTACAAAATATTTCTACAAAAGACTAGAATTAAATACAAAACTAACACAGTTCAGTGTTCACTTGTTATTTCATCGGCACGCTCATGAACCCTCATCGATGCAATTACCAAATTGCACTCTACCTACAACCTTACCAAAATGCTCCCAAGAAATTCCATTGACAGATCCATTTGTCTTGTAAAAAAAAAAAGACATTTGAACTATGAAAAAAAAAAAAAAAATTCTCTTTGAACTATGAAAAAGACATTTAACCCCCTAAACTATTTCATTTGTTGCAAAACATTAGTTTTTCGTCAGAAATCTAATGTCTAATGAAGGAACGTGACAGATGTGATTAGCAAAAATTTTAAAAGACAAAAATAACCTTTTGCCCAAACACAGCCTTATGCCTCTGTCACTTTTCATCGATCTTGGGATAATTCCAAAAAAATGGAGTTTTGTAGGTAAAAGGCCAAAAAGATGGAGTCAAACTTCAGTTTTTCAAATAAATGGAGTTTTATGAAAGGCGCTGACATGGACATGGAAATTTGTTGCAAAATGACCCAACTGCCCTTTTTCTCTCTTTAATAGCAGTGAAGATGGGCTCACTACAAGAAATATGGGTTTTAGTAACAGTCCTTTAGGGACAGTCTTTTCAGACTGTCCCTAAAACCTTATGTTTTAGGGACAGTCTTTCAGACTGTCCCTAAAACCTTATGTTTTAGGGACAGTCTTTTTAGACTGTCCCTAAAACCTATTTTTTGGCACAGTCTTTACAACTGTCCCTAAAACCTAACTTGCCCGTCCCTAAAACCTTATTTTTTGGCACAATATCACGAACTGTCCCTAAAACCTTAACTAGGCCGTCCCTAAAAATTTATTTTTTGGCACAGTCTAAAGACTGTCCCTAAAACCTGAATTAGCCCGTCCCCAATTCCACAAAAAAATAGTGCGGCAACAATTGGCGCTTCATTTTTTGTTTGGCGCTACAAATATATAATATATAAAATAATTTTATTTTACAAAATATACAAGAATTAGGGGTATTGGTGACCGTCCTTTAGGAACAGTAGAAAAACTGTCCCTAAAGATACTGTTTTGCGAAACTTGGCGCCATTTTTGATAAAATTACAAATATTTTAAATAAAAAATTATCAAAATAGCCTTTTGGGACGGTAATGTTACCGTCCCAAAAGGATATTTAAGGTGAAATTATATTTTTTTTAATACAAAATTATCAAAATCCACTTTTGGGACGGTAAAGTTACCGTCCTTAATTAACTATATATATATAAAAACGATGTAGTTTTGGCAAGTTAAGTATATATCTATACATATATTTCTTATTCGATGCGTGTGAAGATTTTTTCTTGCCGGCCCTAGCTCGAGTTCTCCTTCCGTCCTCTCTCTCAAACAGGTTTGTTCTTCCCCTAACCGATCTCTTTGTTTTCAATTAAGTATAGATCTGTATATGTAATCCACGAGGGATCACTCTACTAAATTTCTTATGCCCTAGGTCGATCTTCTCCTTCCGTCCTCTCACTCAAACTGGTTTTGTAAGTTCGTGTTCTGTGTCTCTACTCAAACCAGAGCGACCAGAAGTTCAATGTCTCTACTTATTCTTCTACCAGTGTTGTAAGTGTTTTTTATTTTTTATATTTAAATTTTTTTTTCCTGTGCTTCTCAGATCTGTATATTTGCTTTTTTGCTGTGTTTTTTATAGGATTAAAACAGAAAATTCATAAATACTCTCTGCTTTGGATATTGGATTAGCAAGAACCTCTGTATCTAATTGATGGATAATGTCTATGACTTTTTTTTTTTTAATGATTCGTATTGATTCAGGAACTCGCATGCACGAATTTATGCTAAATTGTTTATATACTATGCTAATGTTAATTCTATGGTTTCTTCTATTTTTATCATAGAAGTGAGAAAATGACTTGTAAATGCTTTTTATTTGAGACAAAATGTTGCTTTATGGTTGGGGTTTTTGATTACTTTGGTAAATGCTCCACCTGACTTAGGCTCATGAAACTATTTGGCGCTTGAATGAGTTGCCCTTCTCTTATTGCTCATTTTTTATTTTTCAATATATAAAACGACTTGGGAGGGTAACAATATTTAGGATTGATAAGCATGAATATGTGTGTTTGAATCAGATTTAGCTCGGCATATTAAGTGAGAGTTGTTGTTTTAGTTTCTCATGACCTATTTTCTTTCAAAAATGAAACCAAACAAAATAAAATAAAATAAAAAAGTAATGTGCATGCATAATATCATTTTCTTGTAGTTGACTTGTTAGTGAAGTTCTGAATGCTAACAATTTAGCTAGAGTCCCATTTGAAGGTTGTAAGCTAACTTTTTCCATGGTGGTGTTGTATTAGTTCACTTCCAAAACATGGAATATCTCATGCACAAGATCTTGTTCAGAACTGATAATTGGTGCCATTATATACTTATTGCTGGTCATATCCACTAGATGTTCACCCAAGATTAAGTTTGATCAGAATTTTAGGTATGATGTATTTCTTACTCCTCTTATTATGTTTTATTTTATTTGTTTATGTATCAATTTCTGGATTTTAATGCTCTATAAGTTTATATTACCTAGATATTTAGTTCTAATGCTCTTATTATGTTTTATTTTATTTGTTTACTTATCAATTTATGGATTTTAATGCTCTATAAGTTTGTATTACCTAGATATTTAGTTCTAATGCTCTCCGTCATAGATCTATCGTGATTATGCATATTTTTTTGTTTTCCTTCTTGTGTAAGTTATTTTCTAGTGGGTAGAAATCATAAACTATATATATATATATATATATATATATATATATATATATATAATGTTATTAATTACGAAATGTTACTTTTAAACAATAAATACGGATGCTAAATTGTTTTTCAATTCTAGAACCTGCCTTTTTTTTTAGTTGATATTCCTCATGTGCACTGCCTTTTCTTCTTCCTTCTTAAACTGATTTACACTTGTGCTATAAAGGTGGTCAAATATACACAAATCACAGTAAAACTATCTTCAGGAAAATAGGTTAAATCTAATTTTTTTTACATCTGTA